GGGGGGAGGGCATTAAATAATTATTTTTTGTTAATTCATCTTTCCAATTTTATTAATTGTCATTATGTTTTCAGAATATTGTTTTGAGGGAAGTTACTCGTCTGTTGCTGGTATTGATTTAGTCGGATCATGTTAAATGTTGCTTTTCTTTGCGTAGATTGTAGACAATGTTTGTAAGATAAGTCGTTAGGCTATGTCTGCAAGATTTCCGTTTTCTCACAGGGTAAGCTGCATACTCTACTCTACATATGTCTTCTAGGCCTCGTCAAGTTTTCTGTGAAGTCAGAGCTGTCATTAGAATTTCTTTTAGAATCCAGAGTAGTTTTAAAAAATCAGTTTCACATATTTTGTTAGGCATGAGTGTTCTCAGCGTGGTCTTTGTTTCGATATTGAACAAGTTGTAGACGTTTAGAATTTTAGTTTCAGAAGAACAAAGTACACATATCTGACCAGTTTCAGAACTGTCCAAGAAAGACTTCTATATGATGTATCGCGTAGAGAGGTGTCCTGATTGTAAAAATGTCTTTTGATAGGGCGATAAGTGAATGTTTTTCTTGAGGTTACGTCGTGTGTGTGTGTGTGTGTGTGTGTGTGTGTGTGTGTGTGTGTGTGTGTGTGAGTGAGTGTGTGAGGGAATGAGTGAGTAAGAGAGAGTGAGAGAGAAAAAACTATTCCTCTCGTGAGCTTTTCTTCACCATCTATGTTCTCCAATTGTTCTCCCCCCATCTATCTTTCCCCCCTTCACAGCTCTGTTTTCTCTCCTCCTGTTTCAGCGAGCGACTCCGCCCTCCTGGACGTGCAGTACCCTCCAACAGTATCCTCGGAGACCCGCCTACAGCGCACGGCGCGTCGTTGGTCCATCAAGTCGCGGCGGGCCTCGGGATCCAAAGTCCCTCCCAGCCCCGGCTCCCCCACCTCCTGCTCCCCCTCGCCGACCGTCTCTGCTCTCTCCGCGGCCACCGCCTTCCTCCTCCCCCCTCCGGACAGCCCGAAGTCGAAGAACGGAGGAGGCGGGAGGAACAGCGTGTCTGGCGTGAGTGGGGTCGTCGTCAGCGGGGGTCTCCTCACCACCAACAGCAGCAGCAACAACAACAACAACAACAACGTTGGGGTAGACATGGTGGAGAGCCCCCGGGCCAAGTCGGGCAAGTCCAAACTGGACACCAACAGCCCCAAGACGAAGCACGGCAAGTCAAGGTCGGAGAGCCCCAAGGCCAAGTCGAGCAAAAAGTGAACGCTGGGGGGGAGGGAGGCTAGTCGGAGACTTGTCGACACGGTCAGTTAGTCATTGATGGCTAGAGAAGAGAGACTTGTCGACATGGTCAGTTAGTCATTGATGGCTAGAGAACAGAGACTTGTCGACGCGGTCAGTTAGTCACTGATGGCCAGAGAAGAGAGACTTGTCGACACGGTCAGTTAGTCACAGATGGTCAAGGAACAGAGACTTGTCGACATGGTCAGTTAGTCACTGATGGTCAAGGAAAAGAGACTTGTCGACATGGTCAGTTAGTCACTGATGGTTCAGGGAGGGAGGTTTGTCGGAGACTTGTCTATACGGTCAGTCGTTGATGGTTTAGGGAGGGAGAGTGACGCAAGACTTTTCTACACGGCCAGTTAGTCACTGATGGTTTAGGGAGGGTAATTGGTCATACACTTTTCTATAATAATATGTCAATTAGTCACTGGTTGTCAGGGAACATAGACTTGTGTACATGGTCAGTTAGTCACTGATGGTCGTGGGTGTTTGAACGTAGTCTTGACCAGGAAGTAGCAGTGCCTTTCTGTGTGAGAGTTTTGGAGAGATTTTCTGTACACTGTGCTGCTGTTTGTTTTACTTTCTTCGAATCGGAGGCATCGATTTTCACGCCAGTGGGGCGTCATTACGAGGTAAGCCGAGCCACTCGTACTGTGAGCGTACGGCAGACGTGAGGTAATCCGAGCCACTCGTACCATGAGCGTACGACGGTGCCTCGTGTCTGCGCCAGAGATATTGTCGCATCGTGCTCCGGGGGAGTTTTCTTGGACAGTCACAGACTGCTCACGTTTGCCTTGTCATGTGGTAACAAAAGACTTCTGTTTACAAACTGTTGCGTGAGCCGCAATGTTACATGATTACGCAAAGGGCAGGATGTACAAAGTGACGTGCTCACGATATATTGTTGATGTTCTGTGTTCTGGTACTGATGGTGATGTTGCTCTGTGAGCTAGAACAATGTGCTCTGTCCTGACGTGTCGCCGGCGTCATCCCACAGTCGCTCAAATCTATGTCTGTCTTGGGGGTTCCAGAGTAAGCATTTATTTGAATAAAGACACCTTGGGGGGG